GTATATCTGCTGATGCTGTACGAATCCTTTTACATGCTGGTTTAATGAAAAGAGATGAAGCTGATGGAAGTCCAATTATAACACAAGCAGGTTTTCAATTTCTTCTTTTAGATACAGCTTCACAGGTGATTATTAATTTTTATTCATTTATATATACATGGTGTCCCGAAACTCATAATCAATCTTTCAAAGACAGATTCCTGAGATCATGTGAAGACGATTTTTCCTCAACGAAAATGTCGAGGCACTAATAATTTTCGAATTATAAGTGATTGAAAATAAGGGGTTTTTTGTAAACTAAGCTTTGTAGAAATAAAATATTAACAAAACCACATTCTTCAATTAATTTTAAATAGAGTTTACTTTAGTTAAGTTTTAATTTAAGGTTTAATTGCAAAAATATATGATGACAAAAATTGGGAACATGCAAAAAATGATGGCCTTTATCGACATTTTCGCTGAGGAAAAATCGTCTCCAAATGATCCCAGGAATATGTCTTTAAAAGATTGATTATGAGTATTGGGACACCCTGTGTATATATATATATATATATATATATATATATATATGTATATAATTTTGAAATACATTGTAAAATCTATTTTTCTATAATATAATAATATTAATCAGCTGAAAATTACTTACAAATTACTTACAAACATTACTTACAAGTATTTAATTTATATATTGCAAATATTTCATTTAAGGTATGGTACTTTATTCTGCAATATCTTGACACAATTGAAGCACGTGGTCTTGATTTAGTAGAGTGCCTCACCTTCCTATTTCAATTAAATTTTTCTACTCTTGGTAAAGATTATAGTACTGAAGGCATGTCCGAAGGGCTCTTGACATTTTTACAGCATTTGAGAGAATTTGGACTTGTATATCAACGAAAACGTAAAGCAGGAAGGTAAATATATATTTGCTTTGACAGAAATGTTTTGTTGACATTATAATAAATTTATTGAAAATAAAAATAATAATTATTAAGTATATTTCAATAAAACATAATTAAATACTATGAATTTTGAAAAAAATTAATGAATTTCCTTAAAAACGAATTTATTAAAATGTTAATGAAATTTAATGAAAAAGGATCTCACAACTAATTTTAGTATAGATTAGTTTTAGATTTAATATATTTTTACATATAATTTTATTATTTCCATATATTTTCACAGAATGTATATATATATATATATATATATATATATATATATATCGGGTGTAACTGAAAAAGCCCGGAACAAATAACGTTATTCCTGATTAAAAATCAAGTCGAAAAATCCTGAACCATTTTTTTCTATAATGCTTAATAAAGCGGTAATTATTGAGTAAAGTTGCGCCAATAAGCACTGACCTTTAGCCTCCTTGTCGAAATTTTTTTTAAGGAAACGTTTTTGATGGAAGAAATATGATTTTTAATGCAAACTAAAGTTTTTTACATTATTATAACACATAAGAATATTGCACGATAGCGGCATAATATAGCGCCGTAGCGCTTACGCACACTATCAGGCGCGCAGCTCACTGACGCCCGTCTAAAGTTCACTGCGCCCGTCTAAAGGTCTGTGCTTATTGGCGCAACTTTACTTAATAATTACCGCTTTATTAAGCATTATAGAAAAAATGGTTCAGGACTTTTCGACTTAGTTTTCCACGAAGTATATCGCTATATAAATAGTGGGCGCCAATTAAGTGACACTCTGTATATACACCGTAGCCCATTTTAATCGACGCACCTGAATATCTCCGTTGGTAAGCCAAATACAAAAAAATTGTTCAGACAAAAGTTGTATGGTTTCAAGGGGGACATAAGATGGTGTCATTAGTTTAATCTTGAAGAGCCACCTGAAGGTCACGTGAAGGTCAGCTCCAACTTTTTAAATGGGACACCCTATATGCTTTTGCATATTCTTGTAGCTCATCTCAAGATCTTTCCAAAACACTACAATTATGTTAGTTTTCATTAAATACTTTCCAAGTTATGAGGCTTGAAATCATTTTTTAATTTTACATAAACCGTAAAATATCTTGTAAAATATTCATTTTTCGATTATTTTACCTTAATACTTTTATGTACAAAATAATGAGAAGAATCAATTGATGTAAAGAAAACACATAATTGTTTCGAACAAAAAAATGTAATTTGCAATTAACAATTACATTTTTTTGTTCGAAACAATTATGTGTTTTCTTTACACCAATTGATTCTTCTCATTATTTTGTATATAAAAGTATTAAGGTAAAATAATCGAAAACTGAATATTTTACAAGATATTTTACGGTTTATGTAAAATTAAAAAATGATTTCAAGCCTCATAACTTGGAAAGTATTTAATGAAAACTAACATAATTGTAGTGTTTTAGAAAGCTCTTGAGATGAGCTACAAGAATATGCAAAAGCATATAGGGTGTCCCATTTAAAAAGTTGGAGCTGACCTTCACGTGACCTTCAGGTGGCTCTTCAAGATTAAACTAATGACACCATCTTATGTCCCCCTTGAAACCATACAACTTTTGTCTGAACAATTTTTTTGTATTCGGCTTACCAACGGAGATATTCAGGTGCGTCGATTAAAATGGGCCACGGTGTATACACACATATACCTAACCTAATATATACATATAACCTAACCTAACCTACATAAAGTAATTCAAAGTTATTGAAAATTTCATTAATTAAATGTTTATTGCAAGATTTTATCCTACTCGATTAGCATTAAACATTGCTACTGGCGAAAATAAACCATTAGCCAAAGATACCGATAAGGAAGGATATATAGTTGTAGAAACAAATTATCGAGTATATGCTTATACAAACTCCAACTTACAAGTCGCATTACTTGGACTTTTCTGTGAAATGTTATATAGGTATGTGTATTACATACGCGCGCGCGCGCGTACACACACACACACACATAAATTTTTGGACATAAAACTTAAAATTATTATTTTTATTAACAAGCATTTAAATATCTATTATTATATTTGTTTTTTAGATTATTCAGGAATTTTAAATTATTTTTTGTACAATATGTTAAAATTTTATTCATATGTTGCATGTAGATTTATGGCAAGTTAAGAGTTTATTATGATTTTTTTAATTAAAAAAATTTATTTTTTGAAGAGTGCCATTATACATACACATATCCAAATGATTAATAATGATGCAATAAAATCGTGAAAATAGCCATTAAGAAATTAAAAAATTGTGTTTCATTCACAATATGTACATTATACTTTTTTCTAAAACTCTCTATACAAATAGAGATACATATAATACATATAAGCACACAATAATACACATAATATATATACAATATATATAAAACTCTAAAGTTCTGTATATTTTTTATATAGATTTCCAAATGTAGTTGTATCAATATTAACAAGAGATTCTATAAGACAAGCATTGAAGAGTGGAATAACTGCTTCTCAAATAGTAGGGTAGGTATGATTTCTCGATACATCAATTTTACAACATTATCTAACATAAATAATTAAATATTTTCTAAATTGCTTTATGTATATCAATAGTTATTTGCAACAACATGTACATAGTAAAATGATAGAAAGAGGACCACCTATATTACCACCTACTATTGTAGATCAAATTAAACTGTGGGAAAATGAAAGAAATAGATTTTTATTTAGTGAAGGTGTTTTATACAGTCAATTTCTTTCACAAACTGATTTTGAGGTTCTTAGAGATCATGCACTTTCTACAGGAGTATTAATTTGGCAAAGTGAAAGGTAATTATTATTTTAAGGTCCGAATATTTTATTAAAATATAAATAGTTTATTATCTTACAAAATTTTATGATAAATATCACAATTGAGACACTATATTTTTATCTTGTAGGAAGAGAACCATGGTAGTCACCAAAACTGGTCATGATGATGTAAAGAAATTTTGGAAGCGATATTCAAAAGGTTCAAGTTAATATTTGTATTAATCTAGTTTTGTGTGTGTGTGTGTGCATTTTATATACATTATTGTGTTTCTTAAGTAGCACTACTATAAAAAAAAAGTATTTTCTGAAAAAAGTGCGTAGAAAAAACTACAAAATAAATTATTTTCTCGCTATAATAAATTGAGAATATAACTTTTTCTAATCAAAGTTTTTTTTTTTCAAATCAGATTAAATTTTGATATTTGAATTATCATATAACGAATTAATAAAGTAAATTTTTATATGTATATTTATATTATATATATATGACACAACATGTGTATATTCCTATTAAAATTTATACAACAAAAAATTATTTAAAGTAATTTAATTTTTATTTATTATAATAAAAAACTTATTGCAATTTTGTATATTATGATAAATGAATTTTTCATATTTGCAAGAATTTAATAGTTATTTTAACATATTTGTAGAACATTTAGCAAGCAGATAACTTAATGGCAATATTATGCTGTTTTTAGTTCCAATATTTTATTCAATAAATCTTAAATTTGTTCTTTTCACTATATTTTTTCCACACTTCATACAGATTAATTATATATCATGCAATTTTTTGAATTTTTTTCATACCAAATTTCCTTGATAAATTTAATACATTTCATCTTTAATATAATGTGCGAAATTAATACTTATGGAAAAATAAATTCATGTATTCACAGTATCAACATTCAATATTATTGATATTGAAATTATATATGTTAAATTATAAATTCATAAACTATTGTGTATGTATCAGATATCCAAAAAAATTTAAACTATAATCAGATATAATATTTTTGTGACTCTTGCACTGTATTGAACATTGAAGATAAAATATAAGTATATTAAGTAAAGCACTATAATTTGTCACATAGTTTAAAATAATTTTATATAAGATAAAAAAGTGTCACCTGCAGATATATAAATGTAGGACAATATTCGTTGTCAATTCTTTTCATCTCTGATTAATATATATGAGAAAGATACACACACATGCACATATATATATATATATATATATATATATAAAATTTATTTATTTATTTTTTTTATTAAAATATTCATGGTGTATTAACAAGAATCCCAAAGGTTTGGCGAACAGGAAATTTGATGTCAACGTTGTGGTGCTGCTTTTGGTTTTGGCATTTTAGCCAGTAAACTTTGAATCTCATTCTTCTCATCATATCTTTTCCACAATTCATAGAGATTAATTATATATCGTGCTATTTCTTGAATCTTTTCCATATCTGCATTTAATTCTGCAAACCACGATTTAAGGTCTTTCTGCAATATCACACAAGCTATTTGCAAACAACCTATAAAAAATATAAATTGTTAAATATAAATAAAATTCTTTTCTGTAATATACTAAATTGTAAAGTAAAAATAATATTGCTCACCAATAGCTATTTGGTAAGGTGGATATAATAAACATACATCTGTTCTTAAACTGTCATTAATAATACGCCATGCAAGAGTAAGTAATTGATCATCTGGTCCCACATCCTGAATTAATGTTAACAAGGGACGGTATGGTTGATATACTATTAAACAGCAATCCAAATGTTCCAAAAGATAAAATTCACATTCTAAAATATGATTTGTACGATATGGGAATTCTTGCGTATATGCATAATTAAACTTGTTTTTAACTAAAAAAGGAATAGACAATTAAATAGCTTCATTAATATATTAATCAATAAATTATAAGCAGATATATCCATAGAACTTACCTACAGTTCCCATTGTTGTTATTAATCTAGTATTAGAAATTACTCCAAACTCTTCTACTTTTGATGCCAAAAAGACTGCTGTAGGAGCTAATAATAGTGGATCTATACATTTTAAGCTATTGCGAGCATAAAATCTTTTAAAATAAACTGTTGCAGTAGCTATCACTTGTTGCCTCAATTTTAATTGTTCACCTAGCATCTGTATCACTAATAAAAGATGAATATATATAATTATGTATATATAGATCATATCATATATAATTATAGAATATAATTACGGTAAAACATGCTATAAATTTACACAGTATATTTATATATACACACATATTCTGCTATATGTAAGTATTAGAATTATTCAATCTTTAATAGAAATATATAAAAGAGATGGTTCCTTGCTAAGTAAAATTACTATTTATAAATTATTGTATGAAAATCTGTTAAAATTTTTAACATGAAATTTATATTTTGACTAATATTAAATTGTAATACAGATCTAAAAATTTAAAAATTTATCAAAATTATAAAAATATAAATACAAATAATACGAGTTACTTCTTTATTTAATAAGTATCCCGCTACATTTTGCAATTTATTATTTCAACTTACTGTTAGAGAAAAAGATGAATATTTTTTGATATTCTTCCTCTGTTAATATTGATAAATCATGTTGACGTTCTCTAACTAAATCTTGTTTATCTAGTAACCACTGCTGGCTATTAAAGATAAAAAATATAATGAAAACTACATTCTGTAAAAATGCATTGTATATAATAATGCAAGAATCAACTTACTGATGTGAACTTTGCCAAAAATTACCGGCCATTTTATAAATATATGTATATATAAATTTTATAAATTATTCACTTCTATAAAAATTTTGATGCATTGAATGATATTAACTGTTAGAAGTCCTAAGTCTTGTTTTGGATATAATAATTATTTTCATATTTTTCACTGACTATCTTGAATATTCTTAGGCCCGTTCCAACAGTGGCCAATTAGCTCAAGGGTTGACAGGAGTGACGTGCGAACTCCGAACTGATGTTGGAGACCTCATGCGGTGACAATGCGAAACTCCGGATTCAGGGTTGCCAATCTGAGAAATAAATTCTCAGTTATTATGTAGAGGTGTACACTCCGCGACAACGATTCGTTCCGCGATCCCTCTCACGGAGCAAGGGGAGCATAACCCCTAACCAATCAGCCACTGCCACGCTGCCAGCTGATTGGTCACTTCTACGCTCCCCTTGTCCCGCGAGAGAGGAGCCTCGGAACGAATCGTTGTCGCGCAGTGTACGTCCATTAGTGCGTTCGAAAATATGTTTGGTTGGTGTTGGAAAAAAAGATAAAGTTGGCAGTATTGAAAACTCCCAGTGCTGCGTTTCTCCCACTGAGATCATTAGGATTAAAAAAATTTGTTACTTGAGATATTAAAAGAGGTAAATAAGTAGTTAAATATATTTTATAATAATATGTTTAATAACATCACATATATTATTATTAATACGAACGTGTGTTTTATATTAATAATGCTATAATTATAATAAAGTGACATAATTTACCTAAAATGTGATTTAAATTCAATATTTGTATATCTGGTAACAACATTTTTCAAATAATCTGTTATTTTTGGTACTATTTTCCTTTCATCTTTATTGTTATTATCTCTATTTTCGAATAAAATATTTTGTAATTTTTCATTATTATCATCACTATCTAAAGAAGAACTACTCGAAGATTCAAAAATGATATTTTCGAGTAAAATATATTGTTCCATAATAATAATTAGTGTAATTGCAACACTTTCATATATTGTACATACAGCACAATACAATCCTAATGATCCCAGTGGGAGAAACGAAACGCAGCACTGGGAGTTTTCAATACTGCTTTATCTTTTTTCCCAATACCGACCAAACATATTTTCGAACGCACTACATATATGTACAAACACTATTATGGTGCGGTCCCATGATACGGAACGTATGCGCAATGCGGAATTGGCGGAACGCTCGTGATTGGTTTAACCTGTTTTATGTCTGTTCCGCCGATTTCTATCCGCAAGTTTCTATTTTATACACATTTTGTGCGGAACTTCGAAATTGTGTGTATGATGAAAAATGTCGAAACAGCAGATATCCGTAAAAATATTATTAAAAAATATTTTAAATAAGAGTGTAACAAGGAATGGTCCAACTAATGCTAATAATGCGTCAAATAATTGAGGTGCCATTCTAAAATAATCCATATATTTTTCTGTGTCTTCGATCAGCATTTCCTTTACAAGATTCTCACTTGCTCCTTGTTGGAATCTTCTTTCTAAGCTGAATATAGATCGCATCCAATATTTTCGTCATTTTTTAATATTTTCATTTTTTTTACAATTATATACAATGAATATAATTTTATAATCTTACGGCGTAATTCATTCTTTTTAAATATACACCAACTTTGTTTTAATTTACTTAACAATCCACAAATAATAATAAACAATTTTTCAGAATCCATATTCAATATTAAGTTGTTGTCAGTTTTGAAAGTTATATATGAAATTCATGAATTTTTTGACATATATGTGTGAATCCGATCCGCATAAATTTGTATTTCCTATGTCCCATGCAGCGGAAAATACGGAAGCGTAATTTGCGCGAGCCAATAATGTACGCTGTTCCGATATAGACAACAAAAAAATCTATGGGAAAGAATCTTGTGATTGGCCAACACCAATTGCGTTTCCGCGTTTTCCGCTCCATGGGACATAAGAAAATATATTTCAACGGAACGCAATTGACGGAATGTCTGTGATTGGACGAACTTCGTTCCGCCAATTCCGCATTGCGCATACGTTCCGTATCATGGGACCGCACCATTACATTGCTCGCGCAGACGCATTGCAGAGAAGAAAGACAGAAAAGAATTGACAATCATGCTATCCTTGTTCCTCTAGCGTATCATGTTACGGCCGAAAATACGGTCTGAAAATGCTTTCTGGCCTCTCGTGGCAGAAAGCAATAATGCAACAAGACTAACGGGCGCCCACTTTTTGTAAATTTTATATTTGCGTATATACATATATGTATATAAATGTTTAAATTATATGTGCGATTAAATATTATATGTTGATGAATAATAATAGTAGGATTATAGATGGAGCAGTAGGATTATAGGATGAACAAATATACAATATGTAAGACACGGGTGCCTATTAGACTTGATAATTTGTTGCTTTCTCATATTATCGATACTTCATATATCACGTCAGCGGGATAGAGAGATAGCATGATGTCAACTTTATTTTGATTATTTTTTAACAACTATAATCGTAGTTTTATAGACCAATAATGATATTTTTCAATTACATCGATATCATAACCACATATACTGTCACATAAAATTGGTAATATGAAGACGTATTTGAATAACACATAATGGCGACGTGCTAAATGTTCAGGCTATCACCCTGTAATCTCAAGTTTAAATCCGTGCACGTTCAATGTTTAATTATTTTTTGTAACATGTTTCATTAAAAAATATATTTTTTTGTTAATTTAAGAATAATTATTAAAACATTGAAAATATTTTACTTATTTATAATTACGTATATATGTGTATAAAAAACTTCATTTTTTGAATACATTAATGTATCTTTGATGATGTTATAAATGGATAACAACTGTGAAAAAAAGAGATATTAATATTTAAATATTCTTTTTAAATTTATAAGTTTTTTGGAAAATATATAAATTATTTCTATAAATATTTTATATATTTGAATATATATATATATATATATATATATATATATATATATACAGGGTGGGCCATTTTAAGTGATCCACTCAAATATTTCGGAAAATAATGAAAAATCAAAAAAATGTTTCAGATAAAAGTTGTACGGCTTGAAGAGGGCCATCAGATAGTGGCAATGATTTGACCTTGGAGTCATTTGAAGATGACGTAAAGGTAACCTTCAATTTCTTAAATGGAACTCCCTATTTTTTATTACATATTTGTGTAGCTTATCTCGAGAGCTTTCCAAAACACTATAATAAAGTATTTCTTCATTGAGTACTTTTCGAGTTATGAGGCTTGAAATCATTTCTTAATTTTGTATAAACCATAAAATCTAGTAAAATATTCATTTTTCGATTATCTTGCTTTAATACTTTTATGTACAAAATAATGAGAGAAATCAATTGGTGTAAAAAAAACACATAATTGTTTCAAAGAAAAAATATGTAATTGTTAATTGCAAATTACATATTTTTTCTTAAAAATAACTATGTGTTTTCTTTACACCAATTGATTCCTCTCATTATTTTGTACATAAAAGTATTAAAGCAAGATAATCGAAAAATGAATATTTTACTAGATTTTACGGTTTATACAAAATTAAGAAATGATTTCAAGCCTCATAACTCGAAAAGTACTCAATGAAGAAATACTTTATTATAGTGTTTTGGAAAGCTCTCGAGATAAGCTACACGAATATATAATAAAAAATAGGGAGTTCCATTTAAGAAATTGAAGGTTACCTTTACGTCATCTTCAAATGACTCTCCAAGGTCAAATCATTGCCACTATCTGATGGGCCCCTTCAAGCCATACAACTTTTATCTGAAACATTTTTTAAATTTTTCATTATTTTCCGAAATATTTGAGTGGATCACTTAAAATGGCCTACCCTGTGTATATATACAGGGTGACCCATTTTAACTTAGGCAGCCAAATAACTCGAAAAATAAGCACACTACGAAAAAATGGTTACAATCAAAATTTCGTCATTTCGAGGGGGACGTACAATGACGTTAAAATCAGCCCCCCCACCCCTCCCCCTGGGCGGTGAGGGGGGCAAGTTTGAAATCTTAAATGGAACTCCCTATTTTTCATTGCATATTCATGTAGCTTATCTCGAGAGCTTACCAAAACACTATAATTAAGTACCTTTTTATTAAGTACTTTTTGAGTTATAAGGCTTAAAATAATTTCTTAATTTTACATAAACCATAAAATATCTAGTAAACCATTCATTTTTCGATTATCTTACCTTCATACTTTTATGTACAAAATAATGAGAGGAATCAATTGGTGTAAAGAAAACATACAGTTGTTTTTAAGAAAAAATATGGAATTGTTAATTGCAAATTACATATTTTTTCTTAGAAACAACTATGTGTTTTCTTTACACCAATTGAGATTAAAGATTGAGATTAAAGAATATGCAATGAAAAATAGGGGGTTCCATTTAAGAAATTGAAGGTAATCTTTATGTGACCTTCAAATGACTATCCAAGGTCAAATCTAAGGTCACCGTCGGATTGCCCGGGAAAAATCGTAAAACTTTTGTCTCAAACTTTTTTCTCCAAAGTGCATTCCTCCACAGTTATTTGGCCGTTTCCATACTTTTGGATCACCCTGTATATATATATATATATATACAGGGTGTCAATTAAGTCCCGGGACGGCTGAATATTTTCTCATGTAAGGTATTTTTGAAAAAGGTCAAGGTCATTTCTGAAGTAATTTTCAATGAGGAATTCAACGGTGACCTTCAATTTGACCTTGAGCTTGACCTTCAAGGTTATTTGAAGATCAAAGTGTTTTTTTTAAATAGGAACCCCTATTTTTGATTATATATTCTTATAGCTGACCTCGAGAGCTTTCCAAAACACTATAATAAAATATTTTTCCCTCAAGCATTTATCGAGTTATGATGCTTCAAATCATTTCTTAATTTTACATAAACCGTAAAATATCTTGTAAAATATTCACTTTTCGATTATTTTACCTTAATACTTTTATGTACAAAATAATGAGAGGAATCAATTGGCGTAAAGAAAACATATAGTTGTTTTTAAGAAAAAATATGGAATTGTTAATTGCAAATTACATATTTTTTCTTAAAAACAACTATATGTTTTCTTTACGCCAATTGATTCCTCTCATTATTTTGTACATAAAAGTATTAAGGTAAAATAATCGAAAAGTGAATATTTTACAAGATATTTTACGGTTTATGTAAAATTAAGAAATGATTTGAAGCATCATAACTCGATAAATGCTTGAGGGAAAAATA